TCTCTGCCTTCAGGTTTACTAAATTGTTTTCAGGCAATGTTAGGCTTCCTATCAAGTTCATTGACAGTCGTTAGGATACTGAGCTGTGAGATAGTCTTACGTGTGCAAGTCTCCGAAGATTGGAGCTTACAAATGTCACTTCCCAGTGAGCGTGGTGAACTGTGACAGCCCAGGCCACCAGATCTGCTTGCCAGACCCTGTTCTGGTCCAGGTCATTCTACCAGGAAGCAATCAATGATTCCCTTATGCTATCCTAAGGCTAAATCAGTAGGCTTTTCCTGTAAAGGTCAAGGGAATAAATTTAGGTTTTGAGAACCAAGAGGCAAAGTTAAAGATATTAGATGGTAATATTCACACATTTCCATAAAACATTATTCTTTTGACTTCCCCCCTTTTTAGTTTGTGGGTGTGTGGTGGCTTCAGTGAAAGTGACCCCCATAGGCTCACAGGGAGTACCACTATTAGGAGGTGTGGCCTTATTGGAGCGTGGCCTCTTTGGAGGAAATGTGTCACTAGGAATGGGCCTTGAGGTTTCAGAAGCTCTAGCCAGACTCAGTGGCTCCCATTCTCTTCCTGCTGCTGCGGATCCAGATGTAGAACTCTCAGCTACCTCTCCAGCACCATGTCTACCTGTGTGCCACCATGGTTCTCGCCATGATAGTGGACTAAACCTCTGAACTGTATGCCAGCCCCATTTAAATGTGTTCCTTTCTAAGAGTTGCTGTGATCATGATTTCTCAGCAATAGAAACCCTAACTAAGATGGCAGTACTAAATCAGGTGGAAGGCTGAATTTGGTTGGCAGAATTTTGGGCTCTTTTCCTAAACTCATCCCACCTACTTTTGCAGTCTTTCATGCAAGAGTCTGGTCACTAAGGGTGTGTGTGAGATCGCAGGGGAGGTGTGGCTCTGGGCCAGTTAATGCTGGAAGACTGGAGGCAGGAGCTCGCTGCAGCTGCAGTTCAGAGCATCTTGTTCTCAACCTTGAACAGCATGCCAGTCACAGGGCAGCGAAGAGGACAAGCCCTCAACGAAGACCTTGAAGTAGATAGTACAAGCTTGGGGGTTCTAGCAACCCATTTACCCTCTATCTGCTGCACACTGTAAAGATTTGTCACTCAAATTGGTTTACTGAAACAGTGATTGGCTAGAAGCCAGGCAGAAATTATAGGTGGGACAACCAAACTAGAATGATGGGGAGAAGAGTAGAGGCAGAGGAGATGCCAGCCAGCCACTGATCAAGCAAGATGTGCAAAAAAATGAGGTAGCAATCCATGAGCCACATGGCAAAGCATAAATAGAAATATGGGTTAAGTGTAAGAGTTAGCTAGTAATAAGTCTGAGCCATTGGTCGAGCATTTATAATTCATATTCACTCTCTGAGTTGTCTCTCTGGGACTAGGCGATCAGGACAGGAAACATCCGTCTACACTTGTCAGGTGAGAAAAATAATGCCTTGTATTACACAGGTAGTGACCAGTGTCTTAAATGTTTACCATCACCTTAGGTGACCCAGTGTAGTAAGAGTAGTCAATATTACCAATATTATCTGCCCTCTCCTCCTACTTTCTGAGCACCTCCCTTCTCCCACGCTGGGACGCAAATGGTATTTGTTCTCTGTGACCATTCTTCTCCCGTCTGCCTCACCTGTTTTTAGATTTGACCCCATATTAGCCAATCTGTGAGCTGGCCAGTGACCCACGATCTCTTTAGCTTGTCTCAAAAGATGAGAAGGACAGATCTGATTCATTTGCAGGAACTAACGGATGACACAATGTTTCTGGGGGAAAATGTGGTGCACGAGCCTTGGGATCTGATTTTAACTCCATAAAGTTATCCTCTGAACAGACACACACACACA